CAAATAATGCCATTTTGCACATATAACACTCGTCAATATGGCAATATGTTTCATCGTTGATCATTGGTTAAAGCAACTTTAACAACCTCTTTATTTTTAAAAAGTATATTGTACATATATATCATCTTTAAATTTAAATACTAAAATTTTATGCATGCTCCAACAAACTTTTTATTTTTAACTTTCTATTTTACTTTTTGAAAGAATTTAATTATTTTCCACGTTTTTAATTAATATATATCTTTTTAACGTTAATGGCCAATAAAATCAAATAAGATCTCAATAATAGATGTGATCCAACCCATATGGCACGTTCAAGGTTTTATTTAATTTTACTATTATACTTTATATTTATTTATGTTATTTTATTAAATTAGGACTCATTTTATAATGTGTTATGAGTTAAGGGGCTAAAGGTGCACTTTTATTAAGGTGAGAATTAAGTTTTGATTTCTTAAAACATTTTCAATGATGGTAAAATTGATTATATTGGCATCTCTAAATTCATTTTTACATCTCGATATATATATATATATAAAATAAATTTGGGTGCAAGTTGTTTGGTAACTTTTTATCTTGTGGGTTACACACGTGATGTTCTTCTGCTAGAAAATACACTTTGCATTTTCTTTACATCTTTTCATCGGGAGATTTTCGACCAATTTGAATATTTAAATTATAATTTAGAGCATCATTGGCGATGCTCTTACTCGTTAAGCAGTAAGTTTTGTTTTGCTTTTCTTTTCTTACTAAAATTTAAATATTGTGAGATTTTCTCCTATTTCAATTCAATTTTCTGACGTTCGATGCTAAGTCAGCTACTATTGTGATTTGTACTTGTGGGTTGCTTGCTTCCACTACATTTTCTAGTATCTGGAGATGTCAAGGAGATGCTCGCAACAAGTCTTGGATGACAAAATCCGGAGGGAGGAGACGAAGCAAGTTTAACAACAAATTGACACGATCTTTACCCATAGCAAAGATATGTTCGGAGTAAATGGTCATGAAATTTAGAGTGGCTAGAGAGGGCAATTTAAACATTTTGCATTTTTTAATGGTCCATCATTTCCCTCATTTATTGAATATTAAACGCCATTTCATAACCGTCCATTTTCCCTAACCTTTCATATTCCGTACCTCCTTTCATGGGAAGGAGTTTATAAAGGGAAGTAGTGGTATTGGTCCCCGAGTTGAGATTTTCACAAAATTGCACAATCGCAGAGAGGTCTTGAAGACTTGGAAGCACCAAACATAATTTGAAATTTGGTATTTTGAAGATCAATGGTTGGAAGTTAGTTTCTGTTATTTATTTTTCGCTTTTGATCTATATGTTGCTTGTTTATCCACACATGATAGATCAAGATAAAGTCTAACAGTTGGTATCAGAGCCATATTTGCCTCTGCCTTGCTCGCTAAGTTCTCTGCAATTTTTCTAGAAATTTTCAGTAATTTTTCTAGAGATTTCAAAATCTTATTTCATAGTTTTTGATGGAAATAAGGATAGGAATCATTAGGAAATTAGATTTCTAACATTTTTGGGATTTGAAATGTAATTTTTGTTGTCCGAAAGATAGAGAAACCGTCTGATTTTTCATTGGGTCGAAACCGGGTCAAAATGACCCGATTGAAGACAAACTGTAGAAAGTAATAATTAAAAATAATAAAATAATAAAAAAACAAGATGCTTTTTTTCCTTGAACTCACGGGCTCACTTACGTGAAATAAGGCTACTGTTGTACAGTTAAGTTTGACAAAGATCAATTCTGCCAATTTGTCACTATACGTGATTACCAAATAGTGAGTTGGTCAAAAATGGTGCAGACTTCCAGGTCTTTTTCATAACAAATTAGTTATGTTATTATTTTGGAATATTTTAATAACATTTTTGACTATTGAACATTGATAAAGTCGGAATTTTTTGAGTTCTTATATCATCGTGGACCCATGTGCTGGAAGTTAAAGGGAATTGTTTATTGACTTTGTTTTTCTGTGCTAAAGTTATTTAATTTTGTTATTTTGTAAGTATAATATTCTTGTTTTGTTATACATGCAATATTGAGATAAATAATTTAGCACATTAAAATTTTAATTTTAGAGCCCATATTGCTTATGGATTTGTGCAATTTATACAAGCACATTTTGTGAATTATATTTATAATGTCGAGTGATCAATATAATTTTAATTAATTAGGGAGTAGTCACAGCATCCTTAATTATGTAAAATTATATATTAAAGTATAGGATCACATATTTGGGTAAATAAATTAATTGTGGTCGATCATATTTAATATAGTGAATTTTATCCCGCAAGAATTTTTATTTGTATGATCAACTAGGATAAAATATTAAATTACTTTCCTAATCACCCATAGGAATTGGGAATTGAAACATGGTTTAATAGTTTTATCATAAAGTTCGTACATGAATCTAATTGGGTAGGACTGTAGCCCACAGGCAAGTTCTATATCATTAGATTTATATTTTGAAGCATAATTTTACGTTGGTAAAATGTAATTTGATAGTTTTATCATAAAGTTTATACGTGGATCCAATTGAGTAGGACTTTAGCCGACAGACAAGTTCTATGTCACTATATTCATATTTTGAAGCATGATTTTGCGTTTGTAAAATGTGATTTGATAATTCTATCGTAAGGTATAATTAAATATACCTGAATAAAAAAATTTAGCCTATAGGCAATTTTTATGTCATTATATTCAATTTTAGCATGATTTACATTGGTAAAACATGCAATCTACTCAATAAAAGCCTCAATTTTAAGATAAGCATTATGCTGCTTCACAATTTGCTAATTTTTCTGATATTAAATGTGATGTTCCTGAACTAAAATGTGAAGACTATAAGTTTGGAAGGAGAGAATTCCCCTTCATTTGGGGTGGATAGACATTGATTATGCCATTAGGAAAGACGAACAAAAAAAAAGACTACGACCAGCAATCCAGATGAAATTACTCTTTATGAACAATGGGAGCGATCCAACCGCCTTAGTGTGATGTTCATAAAGAACAAGATTTCTGCTGGTATTCGTGGTTCCGTCGAAGAGTATAAAATTTTTAAGGCATTGCTGAAAGCTATTGATGAGGAATTTGAAACTTTAGATAAAGCACTTGCCAACACCCTGATTGTGAGGTTTTCATTCATGTGGATCACTATTGAGAGAGGTGTGGGTGAGCACATCATGCAAATGAGAGACATTGTGGCTCAATTGAAGACTCTTGAGATTGATATGTCTGAGTCTTTCCTTGTGCACTATATATTTTGACCACCCTTCCACATCAATGTGGACTCTTTAAGATATCATATAACACACATATGGATAAATGATCAATTAATGAACTTCTAACCACGTGTGTTCAGGAGGAAGGGAAATTGACAAATGGAAATGAGTGAAAGTGCATTGACCGCAAAATGCAAGGAAACGATGAAAAACAAGGTATAAGAAAAGGGAAAGGTAAAATACCTCTCCAAAGTGGAATAAAAAAGGAATCCAAGTGTTTTTCTGTAAAAAGAAGTGATACATAAAGAAGGATTACACGAAGTTCCAAAAATGGCTTGAGAAGAAATGTAAATCAATCTCACTTATCTGTTATGAATCTAATATGGTTGATTTTATTTCTAACACATGGTGGATTGATTCTGGTTCTATAATCCATATTTCGAATACCTTACAGGGTATGTGAAACCTAATGAAATCAGTGAAAGTGAGCAGTGCATTTATTAAAAAAAAAAAGATGCGCTCACATGTGGAAGCTGTTGGAACATGCAGTTTAGTTTCAAGAAATGGATTTATTTTGAATTTAGAAAAGACATTTTACATTACAAGTTTTTCTAGAAACTTGATTTCAATTCCCAGACTTATACCTTTGGAGTATTCCCTCAATTTCTTAGAAATATCTTTCAGTTTATTTTTTATAAATCTGATGGTTTTTTCTCTGTTAATCTACAAAATAATACTACTTAAAATGCTATGCATGTTCACACTGGTATGAAACGATGTGTTATGAATGAAGATTCGGAGATTGGAACATATCTCCATCGAAGGGATTAAGAAATTAGTAGATGATGGAGTACTTAGTACTTTGGATTTTATTGATTTCGACACTTGTGTGGACTGCATTAAGGGAAAGTAGACCAATAAGTCTAAGAAAGGTGCTGAGGGGAGTACAGACATATTAGAGAGGTATTTGTAGTCTAGATATGGACTCATATGGTCCGAAATACTTCATCTCTTTCATTTGTGATTACTCATAATACATGTGTATCTACTTGCTTCATAACAAGAACGAAGTACTGGTTGCCTTTAAAGTTTTCACGGCCAAAGTAGATAAACAATGTAGAAAGCAAATTAATTATGATCGTGAGAACAGATAGAGATGAAGAATATTATGGTAGATACACCGAGGATGGACAAGCACCTGGTTCATTTGTTGAATTTCTTCAAGAGCATGGGATAGTTACCCAATGCACCATGCTTGGTTTCCCGGACCAAAATGGCGTAGCAGAATGAAGAAATCGAACTTTAATGGACGTGGTGAGGAGATGATAATCCAGCAGATCAAGATGTTCAAGAAAATGCCTGAAATTGTTGAACCGGTTGAACAACATGATCCTCAGGAAAATGTTGATACAATATTAAGGAAATCTACTAGAATAAAGAAATCAGCGATACCTAGTGATTATGTTGTGTATCTGCAAGAATCAAACTATAATATTGGAGCCGAAAATGATCTTGAAATGTTTTCACAAGTAATGAATGTGAAAATGGCATTTCTCAATGTAGATCTAAAGGAAAATGTTTACATGAAACAATCAGAAGGATTTTCCTCTAGTGGTAGTGAGCATATGGTATGCAAGCTTCAGAAATCTATATATGGAATTTCCAGCCAGTGGCATTTGAAATTTCATGATGTTATCTCTTCATTTGGATTTGTAGATAATATTATGGATCAACGTCAGTGGGAGTAAGATATGTTCTCTTATTCTATATGTGGATGTCATTTTACTTGCAACCAATGATAAGGGTTTGCTACATGAGGTGAAACAATTTTTCTCTAAAAATTTTGAGATGAAAAATATGGGTGATGCATCTACGTCATTGGTATTAAGATTGAAAGGGACAGATCTCGAGGTATTTTAGGCCTGTCTTAAGAGACCTATATAAATAAAGTTTTAGAGAGATTTCGGATGAAAGATTGATCACCAATTATAGCTCCCATTGTGAAATGTGATAGGTTTAATTTGAACCAATGCCTGAAAAATGATTTGAAAGGAAACAAATTGAAGAACATTCCTTATGCTTCTGCTGTCAGAAGCCTAATGTATGCTCAAATCTGCACAAGACCTGACATTGCATTTGCTATAGGAATGTTAGGACGATATCAAAGTAATTCAAGTATGGACCACTATAAAGCAATGAGGAAAGTAATGAGGCACCTTCAAGGGACCAAAATTACATGCTTCTGTATAGACAAACTGAGTTTGTATATTGTTTTGAGGCTACCTCGCATGGTATATAGATGAAGAGTTTCATTTATGGGCTTAGAATCGTGGATTCAATCTCTAAGCCATTGAAGATATATTGTGATAATTCAGTTGCAGCCTTTATGGCTAAGAACAACAAAATGGTAGTCAAAGCAAGTACATCGACATAAAGTATTTGGCCATAAGAGAATGTGTTAAAGAGAAAATAGTTGTCATTGAACACGTTAATACTTAATTAATGATTGTTGATCCTTTGACAAAAGCCACGCCACCATTATGATTTAAGGATCATGTAGGTAAAATGGGACTTTATTCCTTCATGTAATTTTCGTTATAAGAATGAATGATTAATTTGATGAAACTCTATTTGTGATATTTTCTCATATTTAGTTTTCCTTGTGTACACATTCATGTTGAGAAATATCATTGATGTTTGGACTTTAAAATAAACATAGGGTTTATTCATTAAGTTATATGAGCTGGTGTTTAAGAGACATGATGCATTGTAATACAAGGAAGATACTACTCGTATTTAGTAGACCTATCGTCATGATTCATGTATTTTTGTTTCTTGAAAGTGAGAATTGACGGGTTTTGGATATCATATCGAGTGAAATGTATGGACCAAGTGAGAGAATGTAAACGTTTTGCATTTTTTAATGGTCCATCATTTCCCTCATTTATTGGATATTAAACACCATCTTAAAATCATCCATTTTCCCTAACCATTCATATTTCGTAACTCCTTTCATGTGAAGGAGTTTATAAAGGGAA